CAAAGAAAACAAACCAATGCTGACGTCCAATGACAATTTAAAAAAGTAATGCTGTAACAATTTTTTTAAACACGTGCTGTAACGGTAAATGAGTGAAAAAGTATTATAATTAGTATTAGCGTATGGGCTGTTACATAACCGTGCAATTAACGTTAACGATAAATTTGTAAAAAATGATGTCATTTTCCATATTTCATCATCGTTATCATGACAAGTAGCATTAAAAAACAATTAGCCATCATCTGACATATCAGATATGAAAAACTATTTGAAAAGATTCTACAACACGTGAATTTTGTTACCGAAAATTCAATAAAGTTCTGCGATAGTTACTGTATACGTTTTAACTCTAATCACAAGAAATGCCAAAGAAATTTAAGGGAGAGAACACGAAAGGTGCGTTTCTATATATAAAGCACTTCTTGCAAATACACTTTTCAAATATGATTGGTATGTCTATAAATCATTTTAGTCTCTGCGGCGAAGGAACGTAAAGCTGCGCACCAAGCAGAAGTAAACAAAGTAAAACAAGCTGAAAAAGAACGTAAGGAGGCTGTAGAATGGTCTATAGGTGCAAAAGATTCCGCTAAAAAAGAGTCACAAAAGCTTAAAAGGGTACGATCTTAGTTTTCAAAATTGATCCTTTTGATCCTTTTGATCCTTTTGAGCCTTTAGATCTAAACAAATTGAACGAATAAAGGAGGCTTAAATAACATAAACTGATTGCATATTTGAACTTTGTTCCTATTTATATAGGAAGCACAATTGGCCAAGAAAAATGAAGCCGCTCGATTGCTGGAACAAGAAGAAACCGAACTTTCAAAATACAAGCCAGTATTGAAGTTGACAAATAAGTCCGGCGAAGAGGTTTATAAATGATTGATTGATTGGATTTACTTATATTTAGTTTCTGTATATTAATTGAGATTCTACAATTTAGAAAAAAGCTATAAAACGAACACAAGTTCAAGAGCAAGCAAGTGCTGAGCGAAGAGTAATACCAGAGTTTTCTGCTTCTAATATCGATGATGCTATAGATTTGATGACTGTCGTCACAAGTTCATCAACAGCTGTAGGAAGTGCTCCAGGACAGGCTGGCGGTATTGAAAGACATCCTGAAAAACGGTTTAAGGTTTATATTCTTTATTGATCTTGTTTAATTAGATTAGTTTTATCTATTTTCTAAAAAAGTATTTATTGTTATTGCCAGGCTGCTTTGGCCGCCTATGAGGAACGTGAAATGCCAAGGGTTAAAGAAGAACATCCAGGTTTGCGTTATACACAATATCGGGAAATTATCTACAAAAATTTCCAGGTTAGTTATATTCTTTCATGTCAATTTTCTGCTTTAAAATTTTGAAAATGTCACAATAAATTCTAATTTATAAAAAACAAAATTCTGATCAAAAGAAATCACCAGAGAATCCTTTCAATCAGTTGAATATTATACGATACAATTCTTCTAAACAAGAACAAGAAACCTTGATAGAATCAACGAGAAAGGATATAGAAGATCGACTAAGAGTTTAAGAAAATTTTTTAAATCAGGAGAATCTTATATCGCATATGATAATACATTATTACTTGTTTTTGATCTCCGTATATTCGAGAATTAGAGTGTAGAGTTTTATATACGTCAAATTGTTTATAATCTCAATATTGTATAGAATATATTTTTGCATTGGGGTTCTCTGGAAGGTTTTAAGTTTTGTGATCTTTGTTAAATGTAACGGGTTATTATAATGATCACAGTAAATCATATATTCATTAAACCATCAAATGTATTATCATGTAATTAATTATTGTAGAAAGACTTGAAAGGATTTGTAATATCATTCTAGGTGAAAAATATAATTACTGGTAAAGCACTGCATTAAAGATCCTCATATTTTGAATTTTTTTTCGTAATAATTATTTGGTTAATTCTATAATTTAATGTAGTTATTTATCCGGCAAACTCTTATGACCATGAATTGCCATCAGTCTTGTTATTTTTTTTATTCAAATTAAAACTCAGTCGATGAGTCCCTACCAATCATGATCATAAATTGGATTTACTAATTTCCCCCCATAGTTCCCATTGGATGA